GAAGCACAGAAGACCCTGAGTCAGCCGAAGAAATCTTGAACAAAAAGGAACAAAGCGGGGTGCATTGCAATATCTGATTTCAAAGCATAGAGCCATGGTCATGGTGTAAACACACACACACACACACACACAAATGGAACAGAATAGCATCCCAGAAATGAATTCACACATCTAAAGCTGACTGATTCTTACAAAGGTGCCCAAAGCATATACTGAAGAAAGGACAGCCTCTTCAATAAAAGGAGCTGGGAAAACTGGATATCCACATGCAAAAGACTGAAACTGCCCGGTCTCACTCTGTGCAAAACTCAAACTGGATCAAAGGCTTAACTTCGGGACCTGAAACTGTGCAACTACTATATGAAGACACAGGACAAACACTTCAGGACATTCATGTAGATGATGGTTTTTTGGAAATGGTCCCCAAAACATAGAAAACAAAAGCAAGTGTAGACTAATGGAATTCCATCAAACTTAAAAGCTTCTTTCTACACAGCAAAGAAAGCCATCAACAGAGTGCAAACAACCTGTAGAATAGGAGAAAATATTGGCCACTCCATAAGGAATGAATAACCTGGTTATATAAGGAACTCAAAACATTTAACAACAACAACAACAACAACAAAAAAGCCAATTTCAGAAGGGACCCATGATCTGAAAGAAGAGTTTTCAAAAGAGCAAATACAAAACAGTCAGCAAATTCATGCAAAAGTACTCAATACCATCAGCCGTCAGGGAAATGCAGATCAAAGCTACAGTAAGCTCCACGCTCATCACAGTCAGGATGGCTACTGTAAAAATAAATGAAAGTGTTGCTGAGGACATGGAGAAAAGAAGAACTCTCCCACAGGTCGGTGGGGAGTAAATTAGGACATTTGGAGAACAGCCTGGAAGTTCCTCAGAGACAGCCATCTGAGAAGATTTCCTGATGTTGGCTTCAAAGCATCCTCGTTTGGAATGGGACCGGGCAGCGGCAGTCTGACAGAGACTTGTGTCTTGTGTTCGAATCGGATGTCCCGCTGAGCTCTATGAGAAGCCCGTGTAAGAACACATAGGCACAACGTTGTCCCTCCACCATTTGAGGGGTGCTTCCTCCAAACTCTCAGTCGAGTCGTGCAGTGTCAGCTTGCAGCATTTCACAAAAAACACAAGTTTTGTCTTAATCCAAGTTGGAAAGGTGAGAGAACATTGTAAACATCAGTCTAGAAACCTACAGCCTGACTCAGACTGAAGTCCCCCAAATATTTTGAAGTTACTGAGCCCATCACAGAGTGACAGCCTTTACCTTCCACAAGGCTAGGAAACTTGTTTGGGAAACAGGTATTGAAGGTACCAGGCCAGTTTCATGAGCTCCATAAAATCAGTTTTAGTTCTTTAAAGCTGCCTGGTCAGGACTGGAGAGCTAGCTTGGGGGTAAAGCACTTACCTGGAGTGCGTAAGGCCCTGGGTTCAATTCCCAGCTCTGACTCAAAAGAAAAGCTGACTACTCATATCTGAAAATGTGACAGTTCCATCAGAGCCTGGCAATATACCCAGTCTTCCCAATTTGTTCAGCTACAGAGAAAGCACCTTCTTCCAGAACACAGGGAAACAAATGTGTTGCCATAAAACAAGAATACTTATTGATGGCTTCCTAACCCTGATCGACAAGGTAGGGAGAGAAAGTATTTCGACTCTGTTTACAAAAGTAGAATTTACTAAACTGGTGAAAGCTATAGAGAAAATTTTAGATCTTTAAATTAAAACATAAAAACCAACAAAATTTCAAATTAAAAACAGTGTCCTCATCAGTTCATTTAGTCCTGTGTAAATAATGCCCATTCTATTTGACCTCCGTTAGCAGTTTCATGAAACCATCAGTTGCTTTTTTGTTATTATTATTAGGTTCTGGAAATTTTTACTAGCATAATGGTATGATCTTAAAAGTCATCAGAAATTCATAATCCATGTAAGCCAAAAAAAACTTTCTTCCTTTAAAGAAAGAAACCTGTATTCCAGAGTATATGTCAGAGTCTTTTCCATTACTTTCCTTGAAAAAGAAACAACTTTGGTTTTTAAAATTGTGTTAGACATATGTTCCTGTTTTTGCTTCAGAATCCACTTTGTGGGGTTTTTTTTGTTTGTTTGTTTGTTTTTTTAAGTTTTCCATTCTAAAGGAATGATTTTAAAAGGATCAATAATTTTCCTCACCATCACCTTTGATCAAATCTTCATCTGTTTTATGGCACATTTACAATGTTTGGTTCCAGAATCTTATTCATTATTCATAAATACCCGCTATCTTATTCAGATACTTGTTGCTTTGTTCGTTACACAAAAACTTGAGAAATACTCACAAAGCTAAGTAATTGTTTCCTGTATCTATTACTTATCGAGCAAAGAGTCCTTTGAGATTCATATATAATTCATTTGGTTAGAAATGATGGAAAAAAGAAGCCTGCCCAAAATGTCACAATAAAATGAAATGGCACTTTTCCTGGGAAGCAAATACGATTCAGGTCACTATTATAATAACACGGGAGCTTTGTGTTGCTGGACATTCTAAATTCAGTTCACAGCCAACAATGCCAGCGACACCTTGCATACGCACGGCAGGCCATAGTTAACAGAGCCCTTGCCTTTATTTATAATCTCTGTGGAAAGTTACTTACAGTTCCATTTTGTGTTCACATCACATCACTGGAGAAGCAGTTTGACTTTACTTTATAGCATCATGAGATCCTAGCACTTCAATCTGCCTGTTTAAACTAGCAGTTGCGTGTGGAGCTATGTAGGGGAGGACAGCTCTGCATGTAACCTTACAGACGCATAGCCCACTGAGGTCTAACATGTGCACAAGTCAATGACCGGAACTGCTGAGGGCTACACTGGAGGAATATGGGAAGTAGAGGTTATGTAATAAGGATCTGGAAAAAGTCAGGGAAGCATAAGAAAATTCATAGAGCAAGAAGGTAAGAATATACTCTTCACCTGCAATACTTTCTTTGAAATACTCATCATTTTCTTGTATTGCTGAGAGAAAATTGCATTCATGCTATATTGCTCATGTGCTCAGATCGAATGCAGTTTGCTTAATGGCCTCCTAAGTTTTTCTCTTTCCTTTCTGTCCCCTTGCATTTCAATGCAAAATGAAAGTCTTGGGTGGGGATTTAGCTCAGAGGTCCCGCCACCTGTCTTTCAAACCCAAGGACCTGAGTTTGATCCGCATTACCAAAAAAAAAAAAAAATCCCAAAATGAAAGTCTCTTTCTGAAAGTAGTTTGTATGCAAATTAGGGATATTCTAAAGTAGGTCTGTGAGTAAATGCTGTTTCTATTTCTATATTCAATTATTGTATTACTGTGTATGACCTGTTTCACCTTGGCTTATTTTGCCACAAAATACTCTATGACTTAATTGCTACTAAAAACTGCAAGAGTGTAAATGTCTCTTATTCAAAGGAAATAAAATTCCTAAAATACACGGGATAATTTTATTTAAATGTAACTTTCCCAATGAAGGTAGAATAACACTTGAGTTTTTTTTCCACTATGAAATTTGCAAAGATTTAATTAAAAAAAAGTGAAGAATAACTTTCAGTAAGCTTTATTAGAGTCACTTGTGGTTCTCTGAGTAATCTCCCCAAGCTTTCACAGATGATGAGAACAGAACAGAGAGTACAGGGGAATTATAGTGATTTCCCTAAAGTGAATCAATGGGTTGGGAGGGAGGGAATAATATAGTCATTTTAATATTATTGATTACTCAGTTATCTAGGTGAGGTTCCAGATTTCATAGAAAGGGTTGGCCAATTTTTCTGATTCTTTTCTTCTTTGAATTTCTTTGCTTGTTGCCTGACTCTTATGTCTTGTTGCCAATTATTCCCAGCTTAGGTTCTTCCCCTGACATTAATGTATATTATTTATTATTTTCTGTTGACAGTAATTCTAAAACTAAGTTCAAATGATTTAAAAAGTAAACTTTTTATTGTGGGCATAGTGGGTATGAGTTAGAGACTCTTTTATTATTAAAATTATACTTATTCATTGAAGACCAGAAATTAATATCATAAATTTATATTTAAGAATGATTCAAAATTGAGCAAAACTTTTTAAAATGTATGATTTATCATCTTTTTCTGTTCAAATTCCAGTTTATTGTTTCAACTGAAAATTTATAGTGTAATTTCTTTGCTAACCAGTCCTTTAATCTGCCTGTAATATTTTAGGCTAGTGTCTAATATTTCTTAATATGTAATGTCAAAAATCATCTCAAGTGTAGCTCAGTGGTGTCGCGCCCATCTTACAAGCACAAGGTCCTGAGTTCGATCCCCAGTACCAAACAAACAAACAAAATTGGCTCAAGTGACTTTCCTCCACTCTTGAGAGGTGTGTCTTCAACACTATCCCCCTCTCTGTGATCAGAACCAGCGTCCAGAGCTTCTCCTATCACCTCTTTCCCTGTGTGTGTATTAAGGTACTCTTACTACCTATCCTGTGCCTTCAGGTCGATTGACAAAGTTGATTAAATCACAGGACTCGGTGAGAGCTCCTCGGGGCCCTCATGCATATTCATACAGGTTGAAGAGTCCCCAAGTCTTTCCTTTCCTGGATGTGTTGTTGCTAGAATACAGGAAAGGGGATCTGATATACAGACATTCCGGTTCTCCTTATTGTGAACTAGAGACATGGGAAGAGCTCTAGGCTTATCTACCCCCTCCTCTCTAAGGAGTGAGATATGTTACATACCTTGCGGGGTGGTTTTGTGAGGATGGCATGAGATAATATAAATAAATGGATTTTATAAACTCTAAAGCCTTATTTAATAAAAATGTGAAATGAAATTTCCATTTCCTCTGACTGAGGCAACCTGTCCAATCTTCTAATCACCTAACCTATGTTTGACTCTCTCACCATATTTAGTCTGCATTACTAGACAGGAAAGAAAAAAAAAGAGTATGATGACTTTTCGTAAAGTAAGAAAATACCAGACTGTGTACACGTATTTTATGTTTTGTTTTAGCTATTGACTTCAGTATGACAAAAATTTTAAAGAGCCCAAGAGCATACGCAATGTCCACATTTAAGGAAGACTCAAGCTTGCCGACAGTAACGGCAAAGGTATGGAGTAAAGTAATTTATTAGAAAAAAAAAAAAGCTCTCGTTTATCTTGCCACATACTCGGAATTGGCCAGCTTCACATAGGCGAGGTTGTCTATTACATCCTCAGCATACATTTTAGAGAAAAAAATATAACAATCAAAAGAGACTTATCTCGGGGGCTCATCTTAAAATTGCAGTCTTATTTTCTTCGGAAATATCCTCATCTCTAATGAAGGAAAATCATAGCATCTATCTTTCCCTCACAGCACTCCTTCTCCTTGGGTTAACACATGGAGACTTGTAGTGTATTCATGAAGCTATGATCTCAACAAGCGTTAAATTGGAGAGATGATTTTAGAGGAACATCAGCAATGGTTAAAGCCATGATTCTGGAATAATGGACCATGCACAGATAGCAACTGTTACTCTTGCGTCTCAAATGCTTCCTTTCCTCACAGTCCTTAAGGTGCTTTGCAAGGGCAGGCCCCACAGGTTGCCATCTGCTGTTTTCACAACAGGAGTTATTGAGGTTATTGGCATGAAACTATGAATTTGATCTCTCAATTTTGTTAGATAATTGGGTTTTAAGTCTGTAACAGTCTTTCTTGATAAAAGGCAATCAAATTTGTCTAGTGAGGTCTACTTTTAAAAATTAAACATTATGCCTATAGAGAGTCCACATATTTTAAAGAACCCAAGAGCGTATATAGTAGTCACGTATTTTCTGGTCTTTAATAATCCAGTTTTATAAAATCTCTACTGCCTTATCCACCTTTCACAATACAGGCAAGGGTACTCTGCAAGTACTTATGATAGAAACTGGCAACCTATCAATTTTGGATAGATGACAATGTCACACAATTTTCTTTTGGGAAAAGATTGTTAGATTTAGATATTGGGGAATGTGACACAAACATGTCTAATCTACAGCAAGCACTAAGAAATAGGGACAGATGACTATGTAGCTGACTAAACAAAGCAAGAAAAGGGTCACAAAAATCTCTATAGACAGGCAAGATAATTTTTAGCCTAAAATGAGCTTAGACTGAGTGTCAGCTTTACATCACTGATAAAATACTTGAGATAACCTAAAAATAAGAAAGACAGTTGGGCATGATGGCACAGACCTATACTCGCATAATTCCAGAGGCTGAGTGAGGAGGAGTTAAGGGCCAGCCTGGGCCACAGAGTGAGTTTGACACCAACCTGAACTACAAAACAAGACCCTGTCCCAAAAACAAAAACAAAAACTAAAATAGGAAAGACTGATTTTGTTTCAATTTGGAAGTTCCAGTCTGCGGTCAAGAGATCTGTTGCCTCAGACTTGTGGCAAGGGAGGAACACCTGGCAAAGGAGATCTGTCCACACATGCACACATGGTAAGAAGGAAGCAGAGAAAGAAGGAAGTCAGCAAGAATTCAGGCTCCTAATATTCCCTTCAAGGGCCCATCCCCCATGACCTTACTTCCTCCCGCCCAGCCCCACCCTCTAAAGTTCCACCACCTCCCATAGCACCACAGGCTGGTTACCAAGCCTTTCTGGGACCTTTCAGATTCTATTTACAGCAGGCTGATTTTGTGTACATCTTAAAGATCAGCCTGGATATAATCAGATATGGATTATCATAGGAGAGGGAACTCATTTACATCATAGAAAGCATGTCATACACTGACACTAAGTGTCCACCATCCAAAAATTGGTTTTGCTTCCGAGAGCCCCATTATTGACATTATTTGGAATCATTCTGGATCAACTGGGAATTCTGGAACACATATTATGTGTAAAATAAAAACCTACAGCATAGAAAGTGATGATAAAAGCCAAAGAAATTAAAGAGAAGTTGATGTATCAATAAAGGCAAGTAAAATAAAATCATATATTCCCACAGGAAGTGGAATCAGTCATAAATCTCTCATTTCACATTTCAAACATTGAGGAAAGTCTTATTTTTATGAGAAATTGTTATACTGATCTTGTCCCATTAGATTAATAGATTCTTGAAGTAATTGTTGTTTTTTTTTGACATAGAATTTTTGATCAATACTTAGATTATGATACCCCACTGCCTCTCGTCCGCATTTTTACGGTAATAGATCAGCTGTTAATGTTATTGAGATTCCATTCTATTCGATGAGTTCTTTTTCTCTTGTTGCTACTGTGATTTTCTCTGTCTTTTAATACTTTGAGGATAGTGAATTTATCCTACTTAAAATCCATTGAGTGTCTTGCATATATTTTTCATAAAATTTTTGAAAGTTTTGGCTATTATATCTTAAAATTTTTTCCTGCCCCCTTTTCTGGCTTTGTTCATCTCCTTCTTTCTTTATTCATTCTGTTATCATACTGCATAATCTTTACTGACCTGTGCTCAAGCTTGATGATAAATCTAAAGGCTAGAAGGGCCACATGGCACATATTCATAAACTCCTTTAATTAAGATGCTTTGGCCAGACCCAGAAAGGAAAACACCGCATGTGCTCCTTAACATATGGAATCTAAACAAGATGACAAAAAGTTGTAGAAGGGGGACTGAGATTATCACTACGAAAGGGAGGGGAAGAGAACATAAGGACAGATCCTGGGAGGTGGATATGTTAGAATGTGTTATGCACGTTGAACCCAGAAAGTGTGAGACTAGGGGCAGGCAGGGCTCAGGAGGGTGATGCGTAAAAACGGTCCAAGTGCGGCATGTGGCACGCATGCGCAGACCTGCCGCGGTGAGACCCGCTGACCTCTGTGCTGATAAAAACGTGACCCAGAAAAGGAAGACAACAGCCAACAGTAGAAAAGAAGATGATCTGTGGAATAGCCTTTTATGCATCTTTAAATACATTTAATAGTAACCTTACTTATACTTGCAATTAAAGTTGATTTACAGTTCTTTAAAGATATGAAATAGTTGATTTGTTTTCTTTTTCCTCAGTCCCACTATAGTAGCATTGGTCCTGAGTTTTACCCTGTTCTCTTCAGTTTTGGAGGTCAGAGTCCGCTGATTTTATATTATTTTAAGATGCATGAACTAGAGGGTATTTCCAAGATCTCTAAGCAAAAGAAGATCAAACTCACTGAAATACTCCGAGAGCCATATCCTTTTTTAAAGCTAAGATAATCAGCTTCAAAAATACTGAAAACCGTTTACTAATATCTCAGTTAAAAAAAAATGTAGTTTTACCAATGCACTTAGATAACATATGCTTATGCCCTAATTTTTTGTAGCCTGTGTGATTAAACTGTTGTTGTTTTGTTTTGTTTTTAGATCTGTAGCTGTGATTTTGCATGTAAGAAAAGCAAAATACACATAAAACCCAGGGGCTTAATAATTGGTATATTTAGTTTTCTGATATCAAATGCTGTCTTTGCAGCTCTACTGTTCAGTGTTAGGTTTAACCTGTTTATCAGAATCTTTGGGTGTGGGCTTCTAGAGTTCTCCAAAGGGAGTTTCGGGCTTGTTGGAGCTGTGGGTCCTTTGTCCAAATGAAAGTGCATGAGAAAGCTCAAGGTAGGAAATACAGACAATCAAAATCCAAGCTCCTTGGCTGCAGCAGAGGTGGGCATTTCCTCCTGACACCCCGTGCTCCTCTGTGAAACCCAGGCTTTGCCAGGAACACGAAGGGACCTCAAAGGGATCTAGCACAGTGGTCCCCAAATCGACTCGTGTGCAGCTTTTGATATAGGAAAAATATTAGGATTACTGTTCATCATGTCTATGATACCTTTAAAAATAAAACAGAAGCTGCATTCTACAAGAAATTAGCAACCAGGCTCCCTGGCTCTGCTGGCTCTGCTGGTTCTGTCTGGCTCGCCCTGCTGTGGGGTCAGTGATGCGTCCATGTGGCCTGTGCTTCTCTAAACAGTGCAATACTCGACATCGCTGCCCTCCTTTGTTGATTGTGTGGATTTGTAGCTTCTATCATCTATTTTTAACCAAATCGATCCTCACCAGTGGGCCAGTAGCTTGATGCAAGTACTGAAAATAGGCTCTGAATGGACGATAGCATTTATAATGCCAGACTGAATCTAAAATCACGGAAGTGTTGAAGGAGCTCCTCTCCTGTCAGTTTCACTAAGAGATGACTAAAACGTTAAGGGTAAAAATTGCCAAACAGACTTAAATATAGGTCTACATCATTACTACAAACAGTGAATTTAATTCCAAAGGTATATTTTCATTTTTGATGTTTGCTAATGAATGTTAATGTTGATTTAATTTGCAAGGCCTTTAAAAACCCACCGAGCAGACATTGGTACAAACCTCAAATTCAAGTACAAAAAGGTTTGCTGAACCATTAATAAGTAAATTAAGGTAAATTTTGTTTTTAAAATATTTTCCTTGCATCTTTTCTGTTTATAGATTTCATGTCTTTTTCAACATATGCAACGTTAATACAGATTGATGTATATGTAATTGAGAAACTTAACACTTCTCATATGGGAGTCTACTCACATATCTTACTCATGGTGGATATGATTGGAAAAGGGTAGAGATCACCACTGCGGAAGATCCATGAGGCCTTCCCAGAACACTTCTTCCCCTACATTTCAGACCAGATCACCTCCAGCACTCACGGCCCACAAGTGCGTGACATTAACTTGGGCGACTGGGAACACAAGTGTCCTTGCCACTTTCTCACTGCCAGGACACAATACCCAACAGGAGGAGAGGTTTGTTTTGGTTCGTGTTTTAGTCCACAGTTGGCTGGCGCAGGCAGAAGGTATCGCAGAAGGACAGTTGGGGAAACTTCATATCATGGCAGCCACTGAGCAGAGAGTGTGGGGAGGAGCCAGGAAGGGAGATAAACCCTTCCGGGTCACGACCCCAAAGACACCCCCCCACGCGCAAGTCAGCTATGGGCCCCTATGGTCCCATCTTCTTCCAAAAGCCCCACTTACGCATGTCTGAAGCTCTTGGGGGACACCTAGCAGACTGCAGAGTCTACTCTCAGGGTTGTAATTTAAGTAGCAATGCGAGAATCGTCATCAATCTTGGATTGTGTCCAAAGCAAAATTTTCTGAGTGTTTATTAGTAAAATTTGAAAACCTTTCATTTTCTTGTAACTAGCTTTTATTGTAATTATACAAATGTCAGTCCTGGCACTTGCACTGCTGATGGGCATGGATTTGCCCAGCACCATCCACCAACGTTCTGAGAATGTGTAAAGCGGGAGAGCATGCATGAGGAGGAGGGAGGTAGCGCTCTAAGGCAAGGAGCCTTTAGAGGAAGGTTTCATCCTGAGACAGTAGTGATCTCTCCCACATGCTTTCTGAGCGTGTAGACTGTCATACCTAGCGACAAGAAAATCGTTCCGGGTTTACTGATCAAAACGGTAATGATGCTTCGGGTCCATCACCATGGGACAGTTGTCCAGTGCCTCACACATCGCTATCATTGTAAAAAATGACAACAGCCTGTGACAGTCACACATCACTGCCACTTTACAGATAAGGAAACCGAAACCGAAGACCGGAGGATTAGTGGTCAGGCACAGCGCCCTCCTGACCCTCGGCCTGAGCCCGCGCTCAGCAGGACAGAAGTGTTTCTCCCCGCATCATAAGCTGCAAATTTCCTACGACAGTTGTGACTGTTGAATTCATCTCTATCTCATTCACATTTTATGGTCCGTGCTCAAATTTCCTACGACAGTTGTGACTGTTGAATTCATCTCTATCTCATTCACATTTTATTTGGACCGTGCTCAGCTCGCTGAACAGCTTTATTGGTGTTGTTTGTTCCTGCGCTGACTCCCGACTTTGCCGAGTGTATCTGGCCGGAAGAGAGGAGCAGGAGCGGGAGGAAGTGGAGCTGGCCCAGCGGGTAATCCTGGAGAGACAAAAGGCTACATCACTTTGAGGCGGGCGACTCCACCTGGCCGCAGCGACCTGCTGCAGTTTCCTCCCGCTACCAGGGGCTGAAGCTGCCATGCGCTCCTCAGAGCAGAACCTAACAGGCCTCACTCTGGAGGCTCGAAGCCTCCCTCTGAGAGCCGTCTGGGGGAAGCGAGCACCGGTGACGGGAGGGGAGGAAAGCGAGGCCACAGCCAGCCAGACGGCACCAGAGACTTCAGTCCACAGCCTGGGAGACTGTCCTGCCTCTGCAGGGCCTGGGCGGGCCTGTGTCCTGCTACGGCTCCACTGGGGACCACACGCCACACACCAGTAGATGACCACGCCACATTTTATCACAGCGACTCGCCGGGTGACTCTTCAGCCCTCTGCGGTGGGCCGAGCATCACACCACAGCATAGACACTGGTTTTTCTAACCCCACAGAGAACAAAATGCTCTGCCTCTGATTGTGGACACCGGAATAAAAGCACCTAGAGAACAACAGGTGTTAAATACCTGGTAGGTGGCTATCAGATGGTTTTACATAAAAAGAACACCATAATGTTAAGCGAAGTAAATCAGACACACAGACTTAAATATGGAGAATTCAATGTATAATCAAAGTGCAAAATACAAGACAGATAATAGGAAAAAGAGAGAGAAAAGGTTATTGTCGCCCAGCATGGCCAAGTTACCTAGAGGTGAACCTTGATTTAGAAAACGGTCTTATGTGCCCTGTAGGTTTTTTGGCCTGTTAGTCCGGCTGTTCATCGGTCTATATGACAGCTTTATAAGGACTTACAAATAAATGAATCTGATACTGGCACTGAAAAAGAGGAGGGAGTGGAGGGGAAGGAGTAGGAAGGAATCGTGATGTGCTGTGTACCAGGAAACCCACGATAAGTGGACTCACTGCGCGCTGCCAACGTGTAAAAATAAAAGTTAATCTTTTTCAATTTTTAAAAAGAAAAATAAAAAAAGATCAAATTTCCATTTCATAGTAGTTAAACTTAGATAGAGACAGACATTCAGGAGTCGTTGGTACAAAGTTCACCGTCACCAAACTGAGGTGTTCGAAAAATTTGAGAGGCAGAGGCTATGCACCCTCATTTATTTGCATGCAGACTTCTGGAATGGGCACCGTTACTGTCCCTGGTGTACGGAAAGGGAAACGGAGGCACAGCAAAGCCAGATAAGGTGCCTATGACACCACAGCAGGCGACAGCACTTGACGTCCCTGTCCTTGGCTGACTGGTTTCTGTGCTCATCTACCCCGACCCTCCGGATTCGGGTTAGCCCCGAGGGATGCGCAACTCCGGGACTGGGTAAGAGCGAGTTCTGGGCCTTTAGGGATTCTCAGCATCCCAGCCTGGGAAAGGGCAGGAGGTGGCAGAGGAGTCAACAGAAAAGAGAGGACGCTGCGACAGTGTTCCTCGTATCTAAGGACAGATCCTTATCTGAAACGTTTGGCCAGCCCTCCATTGAGTCCCTCAGATCTCCAGACCTTCGAGATGGCCGGCCGTGCACACCCTACCAGGGCGCCCTTCACTTCAGCAAGCTCGGGCAGGCAGTGTCCTGTGCTTACTACGCAGTCTTCATTTAAACCAGTCCCATGGGACGGGTGCAGTTCAATCTTCAACTCCACAGGCATTTCATCTCTTGACTTCAGTTTTTAAAATAGCGTTTAATCGGCCATCATCGTATTCACAGAGTGCAGCATGAAGGTTTCATGTTTGTGCTGAGTGCCGGATGGTGGCATCCGCTGACTAACACATCCAGCATCTGAATGCTTCCCCGGTCCCCATACCTTGGGCCCTTGGATGGCACCCCCACCTGCCCCGCAGGTACTGTTCCCATTAATGCACAGTGATGTGCGCAAGTCACCGAGGAAAGAGACTTTCCTGCCAATATTGTAGGGGCCAGAAGAGGGGTCTGGGGGTCCGGGGAGAGCGTGGCCCCGGGACATGACTGTCCCATCTGAAATGACTTTAATCCATTGAAAAGGGAAATAATACGTTTTTTTACTAGTTAATATACAGTAACTCATTCTTTTTCATTAATTTTATTGGTACAGTTAAGATACACAATATAATGGCACTCATCATTGGAAATTTGCACCTTTATATAATCCAACTTGGTTCTTAGTTTTTCCCCATTCCCCTGCTCCCTCCCTATCTACAAAAACTTTGTTTCCTTTTTTTTTTTTTTTTTTTTTTTTTTTTTTTTTTTCTGGTACCAGGGATTAAACTCGGGTCCTTGTGC